CTCCAGGGGCAGCCTGCAGGGAACCTCCCACTGCTCCACTCTCCCTGTTCCTTCTGGATCCTTCATCCCAGCAACTGTGCCGCTTTCCACCTGAAGCTTACTCGAAACACCTGACGGTCATCCTGGACTTCCTCCTCCCTCCCAATTGCTTCTGATCAGTCCCTAGGCTGTCCATTCTTAAGCTCTAACATCTCTAGTTCATGCTTTGCTTGTCACTGCCGTAATGGGCTTGCTTCCCCTGTAAATACATTATAGGTGTTTTCCCAAACATGGGCACTTCAGGGTCTACTCACCTGTAGGTGTTAGGTTTTTCATGATGTTGGCTATAAAAAGCCAAGGAGTTGCTAATAGCTACATGTTATTTGATTGACTTCTCTTTCCCATATGGTTTTGTTTTTTCTATTTCCTCTATTTGTGTCTCTATCTGTATCCTGTGAACCTAAGCAAAATTAGCAGCTCACATCTTGAAGACTTATTTTGCAGAACTCCTCAGGGTAAGGAGAGGAAGCTGCGAGGAAGGAGATAGCAGGGGCAGCGGTGGGAGGGCCTCAGCAATGACCAAGCGGCTGCGATGGGCCTCAGAAATTAGGACAATTATTGGGTTTTACTGCTTTGAAGAGTAGTCTGTTTCGATGCCCTTGTCCTTTAGTGTTTGAATTGAAAAGGTATTGATTTATTTGAAATTGCTTAAGTAAGGTCTGCATAAAAGAACTGTCTAGGGTAATACTGTTCTTAAATGTTTGTTAGGCAAAGAAGTTAAGGGGATGATCTAAGAATAAGTCAAATGTATGTTCCAAGATTAGTCATAGAAATTTGAGTAGCAAAACTGCTGGGTAAAAACTAAGGATGGAAAGAAAGCACATGGGAGGATTCCTCAGCCTCTGCTGAAATTTAAGTCAGGGTCTTTTCTCTTTGAGGATTAACTTTTGAGAAAGCATCAACAAAACTCCCAGTTTTGCTTGGGTTATTCAGATCATGATTTGCTTGGAAAACTTACTAAGGAGGATGACTTTGCCAGCTTCTAATTATGATTTCTATTAGAAACCTGGCACCTGACATGTATGTTTAGAAACCAAAGCATAAATGTACTTTCAGCTGTCACAAGCCCTAGGCCAGGGAAAGAAATAGCCATTTTTGTTTATTCTAACAAATAGTAAGTGCTTCATGGTATATGGAGACTTGAATATGTTTATGAAAAAAGTATTTAGTATCATTAAATTTATAAATCAGAAATCAAACTATTCTGGGTGAGGCCTCTTACAGGCAGGATTATGTTCAGCAAGTGTGGATTTGGGATGACTCCATATGGTTGGTACTTTTGTTGGAAGAGGAGAATGTGGCTTCCATTAACTTTTTCTGTCACAAATGTATAGAAATATTTAGAAGCATTTTTCTCATAGCTTTACTTTAAGGTGTTTGTGTAGTACATGAGAGGTTTTTTTTCCTATTTAAAATATATTGATGCTTCTCTAGGGAAGAAACATATACTTATCTTGAAGTTAAAGATAACCTGTGGTAGGGATATTAGTAACAAAATAATTGAAAATACTTGAATGTCTTTTTTCTATCAGAAATATTATGTTAGTGTTTAAAATCGATTTTGATCAAATTACACACATCATATTGAAGCCAATATACTTAGACTTGAAAGAATGAGTTTGCAAAATCTTGTTTTAATTTCAATTCTGAGGAGGGCAGGGGAGCACATTGTGAAAATACATATGCACAGGAACCTAATCAATGCTAGACAAACAAAGTATTACTTTACAATATAGTAGGATAACCACAAATTTGAAGGCTCAAATTGAGTCCATCAGCTGTAAATACAATTTTATATTTGGCTCAAGTGGCTATTGAATATCAAGTGGTGCTAAGTTCCTCCAAAGCACCTAAGGACCCCCTCAGCCTTGGAAGGAGTTTCACCACAGTCTCAGAAGAAATCCCAGTCATCCCTTTAACTCTTTTGGCCCTTGGGAGTCATTGCTACCCACACACAGATGTAGGCCAGGGATTCCCAGTGGCCACGTGTTATTGCACAGAGAGGTCTGTTCTAAGCCAGACTCTTATGGCTAAGAAGGTGTGAGATTAGCCCTTAAATAGTGGTCTAGCATTAACATGGTCTATAAAAGCACATTAAGATATAGCTCCTTAGTGATTATGTACCAGCTACTAGTTATCACACTAACAGAAAAGGCAATGTGGCAGCTTCACATTTCACATGAAAGACTAGCACTAACTGGGCCTGGCTTGCTGGCTTCACTTTCATATAAATATAATGATTATTTTAATTTAGACCCAGGAGAAAATGATTTCATGCCAGTCTTTTCTTCACATAAGATTCGTGTAGCATTAAAATTGTTAGGGGCTATTGACTTGGCCATGAAGGCAAAAATGTGTAACTCTCCTTTGCCAAAACAGAAACATCCCTGTTTTGACTCCTGTCCAGTTTCCAAAAAAACAAAACATACATACACCTTTGTTATTGCACATCTTTCACACAAACTTGTGTATGTATAAAATATATATATATATATATACTTTTTAAATATGCTACACATAAAAAAGACTATGGCACTTTACAGAATACATGTTTAACAAAGATCATTACACCACAGATGTTTGAAAACTATACAAAAACCCTTACACAATTAATGTAACATTGTTGAATTAGCACACAGGTTTAAAGAATCCACAAACCCCAAGGCAAATACTTCTGCCTTAGAGTTCATTGAGAAGCCCAGCCCACGATAGAACTTTTAAGCACAAATGCAGGCAAAATAAATTATACTTTTCTTTTAGTAGTAATGGTCCTACTTATTAGAAAAACGTGAGTGGGTCAACAAGTGGTTTTTTAAAAGAGCCATGCAGAAGAGTTTTGATATAGAAAGCCTGATTTTAGATGGTCCTTTCATCCCAAAGTCAGTCTAATGGATTAAAGATTTAGAAGACCCACTATCTCTGTCTCTGGTAGAAAATTCAGCCTCTGCTCTGTTGTAGGAAGTCAGTGTTCAAGTAGTTTTTAGTGGCTTAGGGTTTTGTTTGTGCATGTGCCATTTTTGGTCTTTTATAACATTCAAATTAACCAAATAAACACTGTCAAGTGACTTTATTCTGGCTGAGAGATCACATTTTCACTTATGAACATTACCAGGTTGATTGAGGGGTACACTGCCACTTAGTCAAAGAGCATGTGATAGACATGTTCAGAGGGTCTTCTGGGCTTAGGATTTTTAAAGCAGGAGACTGAGATTAAAAAAAAAAATAGTGTTAGGAAATTCTCTCTTTTGTAAAGAAAAATGATAAGAAAAAATTGTTTTTATCAAAATTTGCCTGATGATGGAAATTGCTTTTAATGATAAGTATTGCCCACATGCTGGCAGAGGGCCTTAGTGAGAACACTGTAAATTCAATCAGGGACAGGCACCTTCTCCAGTGGCTCCCATAGACTATTTTCATGTGGCTGGAGAGATGGTTAATGTTTCCTGAGCCTTTACCGAGGTTGCTAGGAGGATTTCTGTTTACACTTCTCTGAGGGGGGAAAAAGATAGGATTTAAACCTTGCTTACTTTGAACTTTGTTTAAAAATGATAAATTAAGACCTGGTTCCATATTCCTCACTCCTCTGATCCTTAGACTTTCATCTGTTAGATAAGTTGGTTTCTAGTGTAAGCCAAAGGACAAAATGTAATAAAACTTTAGTTGCCCTATTCTGTATATAAATAAAGTACTTATTTATTCTGTACAAGGCTTAGTTCCAGACTCATATACGGCTTTAACATGATTCACCAGGGCAAGGCTGTAAAATCTAAGTCAGGGTTGTTCACCTGATGTACCACACAATAACTTGCCAGTAGAAGGGGCCTAATGACAATTAAAATTTCAAAACCACCCTCAAGCAAGCAGATTAAGAAACCCACAGAGACCTACATTTTCAATCTTTCCTCAAATCTGGCAGGTTCACCCCACTTCCTTCAGGTGCTAAGGAGTGTTTCCAAGTCATTTCTGGCTACTTGGGTCATTCTGATTACAATCTTCCTGAATCAATGTATTAGAAATTTAAGGAAACTAGATGAAAAGCCTGAATCCTTTTTAATAGTGGTGCTTGACTGTTCTTGTAAACAAGTGTGGGCAGGTGTGATGAGTTTAGTTTGGTTTGTGTTTTTTGCATTAACTTTCTACTCTGTTTTCCTGGGGACAAAGTCTTTGATGCAGCTCTTTGGTTGCAGCAATTTAATGTTATTTCAATCTGCTTTCAGGATCAACACCAGTGTCTACAGAAACTTAACTCTTGTGACTACCTCCCTTTTTTCTGCCAAAAATGCCATTCTGCTGCTAACTTTAAGGGTCACCAAACAGAAAATGTCTCCCTGAAATGCTGAGATTCTTGTGGTCCCTCCCAGTGAACATCTAAATGAGCCACAGCTAGTCTGGAGATCACTGTCCTCGGAAGGTGGAAACAGAGTTAAGTTTTCCTTTGGCAGTCAAAGCACAATCCTAATCCTGGGAGAACACTGTGATGGGGGGCGGGGAGAGGACAGTGAATCAGCCTGGGCCCTAGCCTGTCTGCTGAGAAGAGGAAAGAATTTGTCTTCAACTGGCAAGGTTCTGTAGTTTTAGTCTCACGATTGTACTGGTCCTTAATCTTTCTTTATTCAAAAGTTTCTAAAATCTTAGAGAGTGACAGTTCTGTTTATCCACCTTACCCTGAATTTAGCCTAAAATTAAGTTCTACTGCAAGTTTCCACACTGTCCCTGCTGATTCCTTTGGTCAGCTAAGCAAGAAATAGTGTCTTGCTGTGTCCTTTAGCACACATTCTATCCCCAGTAAATTTGCAGACTTCCTTTTAGTCTTCAATTGAGACACCTTGAAAGAACTACACAGAAAACCAAAACACCAACCCTACACTGCATGTGGAGGCCGATGCTCACAGGTGTGCAGCTTTGAGGCACAAATGTGCCTCAAAACAGCCTGCAAAGCCGGCTAACAGTCTCCCATTTTATCAGAAATTCAGATGCCTTTATGATTCAGATCATTATCCTTCATGGAGCCCTGGGGGAGGTGGAGTCTGACAGGACTCCTTGACTTCAGTCAGGGTCACAGACTATTTTCACGTTCCATCCCTTGTCATTTGCACTGCAACCCTCCTGTCCAGTAACTTTGCCCCTCATTGGTCCTGCTAAAGCCTGGGGCTGTGGAATGTGGCTTTGATAGGTACAGGCTAGTTCTCCACATGATTCAAAGGATGAGGACTGTTTCACAACATTACACAAGAAAGAAAATGGCATTAATGTCTCTTCCAAACTAAAGGAGGCAGATAAGGTTCTTCCCCTCTTCGATTTCTTCTTGTACTTTGTCACTGGAAGTTGCAATTTCTGCTTGTGCGGAGAAGACAGCACAGATGAAGGTGAGGACTGTGCCACCAATGGCGGTGTAAAAGGCCCAGCCCAAGGAGCAGTCTCCAGGTTTGTAGGCAGATGCGTAATGTCCACAGTAGTCTATGGCTTTCTGGCAACCCCAGCCAGCAGGGTAGAGTATCAAACCGAGGATAAGGAATAGGCCTGCAGGAGAGAAGAGAAAACAGGTGAAGCCCCTGTGGTGCTCCAACCTACAGTAGGTTCAGATCTGCAGAAACAGTTACTTGATTTGCTGGCTTTGGGCTGTGGCACCCATTCTTCAATAGAAAGTGTTAGGGATAGTTTTATGCAACTCATCTGACCTGAGCAGGAAGTATCAATTTATTAGCACTATTTTCAGCCACTTTTATACATGTTGGAACATGAATTCATTAATACTTTCTTCTAGAAAAGCAAATTAACTTGTTTGTTACTATGTCTTTGCACAAGACTACTACAGTGAACATTTCCTTTTGTTTACATGGTAAACTAAAGCCCTCAAGCCAAATGTGGCATTATAAATAAAGTTTCATGGAACATCGGCATGTCCATTCATTTCTGGGCTGCCTGTAACTGCTTTGGTGCTGGAACTGCAGAGTTAAGTAGTTCCTGTAGGCCACATGGCCTACAAAACCCAAAATATTTATAATCTGGCTTTTTGCAGAAAAGAGTTTGCCAACCTTGGTCTAACAGAATTCACACAGAATCATCGGATCCCAACCTTGGTTAAACACAGGGGTCAGGAGCCTTGAAGGAAACCAGATCGTAACCTGATTGTCACTGCTTCCAACAAGCCCACAAGGAATCTGTTTGTTAGTATTTACCAATAACCAATTGCATGCCCGGAGCAGAGATTTTGATTGTAAACCTCCTAAGAATTTTCTGTCTGGATGCTTTTAGCCTTGAGTAGACACTAAAATTATGCCTCCATTTTATTGACCACCCCATCACCATGTCACAGTAAGCATCCACCTTGCTATTCCTCCCGGTTTTACTGCTCACTGAACAACTGGATGTAGCAAGTTAAGGCTGTCTTTCCTGCCTGTTCTCATCAGAGCTAGGACTAGGGAGAGGCAACTAAGGTACAGATTTTTACTCTAAATGTGCTTGTGGAAGCCCAACTGCAGATGCCTGGCTTGCCTCATCCTCACCCTCAGTGGTGGCACTGGCCACCACTCATTAGCAAAGGTTCCAAATCTTACCCAACACTTTCGGTATGAAGTATTATTTAAAGGCCTTTTTGTTTGTTTGCATCATGTGGGGCAGGAAAAAACTCTTCTCTGCAAAATGACACAAAATTGCTAAATCAACCAAAAAGTCTTAGTTTTCATAGACCTTGGAACATCAATTTTACCCTTGTAAAGAAATCTTAGAGGGCTGGGGATGTGGCTCAAGCGGTAGCATGCTCGCCTGGCATGCGTGTGGCCTGGGTTCGATCCTCAGCACCACGTACAAACAAAGATGTTGTGTCTGCTGAAAACTAAAAAATAAATATTAAAATTCTCTCTCTCTCTCTCTCTCAAAAAAAAAAAAAATCTTAGATTGCAGTTCTCTTTCTTTTCCTACCTTAACTGAAATTCTCTGGGTTCATAACGCCAAAGCTTTTAGGTCATTTGGAAACTTTCTCACCCACAGAACATGAGTGGATCTGTGGCAGTATGGACTTTTTTGTTGTCTTTGCATTGCTGGAGACTGAGCCTGGTACCTCGTGGATACTAGGCAGTGCTCTTCCACTGAGCTCGACCCCAGCCCTTTTTGAGTCAAGTTCTCACTAGGTTGCCTAGACTGGTCTCAAACTTGCAAGCCTCCTGCCTCAGCCTCCTGAGTAGCTGGGATTACAAGTGCAGTAGAGGTTTGAAGGAAGACTGGGGACAGTGTTTCAAGCCATAGATCACAATTTTCATAGCTGTCTTCATCCTTGGATGAATTCTTCTTGTCCAGCTGGGCAGTTTAATACTACAGTGGTTTTGGGTCTGAATGTCCCCACTTCATCTTGCTGTTCCACTCAGAGGACCTCATGGGAACCACTGGGTGGTTCACAAGGAAGTCTTTCTGATTCTGCAGCCCCGGACTGCTTTCTCCACAGGTCTGGACACTGGAGCCAGGGAGGCAGTGGCTATAGTCAGGGAAGTGCAGAGTGCCCGTAGAGCTGCAGAGGAAGAGCAGCATGGTACATCATGGAGAGGGGCTGTTAGAGATGAAAGGAAGCAGTTTCCCAAGGCCAGGGCAGACGATGTGAACTGATCATCCTCTGGATTATGGAAAGTCCAGAACCAGCAGTCTAGGAGTGGGTGTCGGCAGTCAAATCAGAGGCTGCCTTGCAAGCATGCACCAGGGGAGTTCCTAGAGTGCAAGCCTGTCAGCATGGGACCAGAACAGTGTTATGATGGGTCACAGCAGAGGCTTGCCAAGTTAAGAGTGGGTCAGCCGTTAAGAGCTCTGACTTTGGAGTAAGATAAGGTCTGAATCTACAGTCCGTCTTCTATGAGCTGGGTGATCTAAGAAAAGTTTCTTGACCCAGTTCCTCACCATAAAATGGCCTCATCTTTAACTCATAAGGTGGTTGTGAATTTTAAAGTCAGTAAAGAGTACTTTCTATAATCATAACAAAGCTGGAACATAGACCAGCAGCAGCCTGCAAGTTAAAGCCTTTGACAGACCTCCCCCATCTGTGAGCACAAGCAAAGTCTAACCATCAATAATAAACAGATCTGCTTAGTTTTGAAGGCATATTTTGAAAGATATAGTTTGGGAAGATGGAAGGATATCAGGCTATAACTTAGTACCTTTGAAACAATAAACTGTTCTCCATTTGAATAGAAGTTTACTCAGCCAGGAATTCTAAAACGATTTAAAGTGATTCTTAAGTATTTCTAAGGTCTTGGACAAGCCCCAGTAAATCCTGTCTGCATTCCACTTTGTCTCCTAGGAAGCTTCACCTATGAGATCTTGATAGTTTCCTCCCTCAGACTCCTAGGTGACACACCACCACTGGGCTTTCTATCAGATGTCTACCCACGCAGGACTCAAAGGCACCCTTGTTCAGACAGCCTCTGTCTTGAGGTTCTAAGTGGAGGCCCTGGGCAAGGGCACTGCTTTTCCCATTAAAAGACCAAAGTGTTCATATTTTGTAGCTCCAATTAAGGATTAATTGCACAGTTCATTTATACTGTGGCTTAAATGTAAAATGAATATATTTTAAAATATTAGGGACAGATGACAGAAAGCATGGAGTTCACTATATCATCCCAGCTCTGCCACGCTGCGCTAGGTTCTGGCTGATTGTAGGATACGTGAAATACCTTAATGCAGCATCTTGGATCCTACTTCCTGTTAGGAAGCAGGCTGGTTTAAAATAATAGAGCCCTTCCCCTAATAGCACTGGATCCACTTTCACAGCCTGTTGAGCCCAGCCAGGACACTGACCTCCTTTAGGCATTTGTTCCCTTTTCTAGGAGCACAGATGGGATACCTTGGGTGCTTTAGTCATCTTAAAAGCTTAATACTGCTATATTGCCTTAATCAGTTAGTGACAGAAGACAGCAGGGAGACCTTATTACAAAAGGGTGTCATGCTTGAGTTTGTCAAAAGCCTCAGCTTGAATATAAGCCCACAGGAAAGTCCAAATGGGAGGGTGATAAACATCAGGCTATGGTGCATCGCCCCGGGGAATTTGCAGTGTGTGGCAACCACATGCTGCCCAGGGCAGGCAACCGAGATAGTCATGCACCTCAGCAGCTTCTCCACCTGTCCACTCTGCCCTGACTGGTGGCCTCTGCTCCCAGCACTCATCAGAGCTGTCATCAACACAGCCAGTGCCAGGAAAATGCAGGAACTTAAACTGACAAAACAGCCCTTGGGTAAGCAAGAAAATAAGAATTTTTTTTAAAATCATTTTACTTCTCTGTGTATTTAGATAAAGCTGCTTCTACCAAGGAATTCCAGAATGACTGGTGATTCAGGTGGCCCTCTCAGGTGACTGCACTCAACCTTCCCCTCAGGAAGCCCAGACGAGGGAAGTGTGGGCAGCCAGTCTGAATGAATTTGCATACTTGGAGAGGCTCTGTCAATCACTTTCATAGTGACCTGGATATTGCCTCAATCCTCAAAGTAGCAGAATGTGTCTTCAGACATAGGCCTGTCACCCCATGGATTGAGCTACGCTCACCTGTTCCTTTGTAATGTTACGCCTTTGCCCTGTTTGGGATAGAATGTTCCATGGAAATGCCCTTTGTGTGTCCCCTTCTCTTGCTCTGCCTTTGGGTATGACCTTCCTTGATGTCAGTCAACCAGCTGACAGCTGACATCAGGAAGCTAGACTCCACCCCTGAAACCTGACCCCTTGCCTCATTTGAATGCCTTCTCCTCAATAAAAAGGGCTCAGCACTCTCTCTCGCTTTCTGTGGACCCTTAGGGTCAGAGGAGCCATCACAGGAACCCCCCAAAAAGGTATCTCTGTCTCTTGTGTGGTTATTTCATGTAGCCCAGTCCCCCTGGAGTGACCCTGAGTGTTTTAGTCATGAGGAACGTACAGCCATTCATCTGTGCCCAGCCTACCCTGGGTCTATACTGTTCTTAGACTGAGAGCAGCTTCCCTGGGCAAGTATCCCTGGGCCCTACCTAACAAATGTCCCAAGACTGGGCATGTTTGGTGTGAGGTACTGGAAAAGGCAATAAAGCAGGCTGTGGGCACTTGCTTTCTTCTAACAGAGACCTCAACTTGGTGCCTGGCTGAGATACAGCAGGCTGGGCTGGGAGGGGGACAATGCAGGGAGGAATACTGGCTGGGAGCCAAGGACAACAGAGTCACCACCAAAAGAACACTAAGTGACCTGGAGAGCTGGTAACCTGTGCTGTGGCTCAGCTTGACAGGATGTGTCTTAGACAGTACTATGTCCTTATCCTGGAGGGACATCCTCCTAACATCTCTTATTAAAAGCCTCCCAGTTCACTATACCAAGAAAGCTGGACGATGCCAGCATCTGCTGATCCTGGGGTCACCTAGGGCATGATTCAACCTTATTGGTGGAATAAAAAAAGTAAATGAAAAGAAACTGATGGCTAGTCACTTGGACTACCCTTCAGATGCCACCTCAAGCTAGACAGTCTTGACAACCTCAGGATAACCCTCTACATGGTGCTCACCCTTATGGGGCACCAGCTAT